AGAGAGAGAGAGAGAGAGAGAGAGAGAGAGAGAGAGAGAGAGAGTGAGAGAGAGTGAGTGAGAGAGAGAGAGAGAGAGAGAGAGTGAGTGAGAGAGAGAGAGAGAGAGAGTGAGTGAGAGAGAGTGAGAGAGAGAGAGTGAGTGAGAGAGAGAGAGAGAGAGAGTGAGGGAGTGAGGGAGTGAGTGAGAGAGAGAGAGAGTGAGGGAGGAAGAGAGTGAGGGAGTGAGAGAGAGAGTGAGAGAGAGTGAGAGAGTGAGAGAGTGAGAGAGTGAGAGAGTGAGAGAGTGAGAGAGTGAGAGAGTGAGAGAGTGAGAGAGTGAGAGAGAGAGAGAGAGAGAGAGAGAGAGAGAGAGAGAGAGAGAGAGAGAGAGAGAGAGAGAGAGAGAGAGAGAGAGAGAGACTATTGATATTTCACATCTTCACGTGCTATATACAATATATGAATATGTTCTTATTGATATTCATTATTTTTCTTATTATCATTTCTGTTATCATTATCATTATTATAGTTATTATCATTTCTATTCCTTTATCCAAACAGTAGAAACAGCTATGTGTAACAATCTCAATGACTGGCCAAATATTCGTATGTCATGTGAAATAATTGTGTATATCTTTATTTTACTATTTTTAATGAACTTGAAAGAGTATTGTAAATATATATTTTTTTAATGAAACATACAGAAACTGAACTCTCTGACCACGCCAAACACCACCTTATCAAACCGATTTGTTGATTATATCTGAATTGGATATTGTTGCCTTTATTAAAAAAAAAAAAAAAAAAAAAAAAAATTGTTGACTGCGAGTGGCGGCTTCATGAATCGCTACCGCTGCCCCGCGAAATTCGAATATTGACGAGAGTTTGCTCCTTATTTCGCCAGCCTCACCTGTAGCGTCACGTGCAACATTCAACCCTATGGCACTCATATCATTTGGTGAAATCACAGCAACGTCAAATGGCCCTAAAATCCGTTTTGAATAACAACAATGACAAATCTATTTAGTAGAATGTGATAAGCTGTAATATCATTACTTACAGTATTTTATGCTATGTTATAATATAACCACGTTCCTACATACATAACAGGCTTTCATAAGTCGATAGATATTTCCTTGGCATTCATAATTCAGAGAAACCTAATCATCGACATTTAGTATAGTCTACCCATATATCATAGTCCTGAAAGAAAACGTACGCTTTTCATGGCGTCCACAGAAATAAAGTTTTAGAGGGAAAACATCTATATATTAGATTTCATATTTAAACAAAAGTCTCTCTGTTATAAAAATGGTTTTCATGGCGTCCACAGAAACAAAGGTTTAGAGGGAAAGCATCTATATATTAGATTTCATATTTAAACAAAAGTCTCACTGTTATGAAAATGGTCAATGATACGATGGGAAGGAAGATAAAAGGTAAATCAAAGAAATGTGTATGAATATGAAATACAACATACACAACTGACTTATAATGTGTAAAGATTTATTTAAAAAGGACAACACAGATACAGTAATAAAAAAAAATCCTTGAATGAATGAAGTATATCAATATCAGAGAGATATAATGACTATTGTTCACATAACAATAACAGCAATGATGATAATAATAGTGATATATGAAGTACAAAGAAAAGGAAAATGGGAGAATTTAAGAAACAAATGAAAAGAGAAAATAGCGATAAAGACGACTACAATGAAAGACAAAAAAAATTACGACCTCTTAACCGATGCATGTGTAGGCGAAAGGCAGGAACATTATGATTATATTTTCAGATATATAAAGTACATTAAATTGAATTAAATTGACTCTAATTTAATCAAAAGATACACGATCGAGCATAATTATTACTTCAATAGAAATATTTATATTTTTTCCGACATTGACAGCGAAATTGAAAAAAAAAGATACGACTATACTATCCAAGTGAAAACAACATTCTAATAAAGTTTTCTTCTATAGCGTTTCCTCTTCAAATCATTAATAAAAAGACTTAGGAGGTAGTAAATATACCCAAAATTCCATGAATTGCACCCAGCGTCCCTTTCAAGAGCGCGAGAAAATGGCGCCATCGTCGGTGAGGTTTGAAAGGTGACGAGGTTAACGCGGTAAAACCATATCGCGTTCGTTAATCATCACGGATAATCGTTTGAATTTTTTTTTTACCTAAATGTGATCTCTTTATTTCCTACAATACTTATTGAATATCGTCAGAAGTAAATGATTCAGCGGAAAACGATAGTTCTGTAGTAGACGGAGAGAGAGAATAGAAAATGTCAAGGATTTCTCATTTGATTATTTTAACATTAAAAAACAGTGGCATAGATAGAGGGGGGTCAGGGGGGCGGAAAACCCCCCTCTAGAGCTAAACTGCCATTTTGTCGAAAAATTGCTAATCTTATCGGAAAATAATCATGAAAAAACGAAAATGCTTACTAATTTTTTGTCGGAAAATCTGTATTTCTCGCCCCCCCCTATAAAATTTCCTATTTTCGCCACTGATTAAAAAGTATTTTAATTTTACATTACAAAGCAATGTGCATTTATATACCGACTGACAATGTGATTAGTTTTATTTTTGTGGGGCTTCCAAATTGGCTCGTTAAAGTAAAGAATATATATATATATATACATATATATATATATATATATATATATATATATATATATATATATATATATATATATATACATATATATATATATATATATATATATATATATATATATATATACGCACACACACACACATGTATATATATATATATATATATATATATATATATATATATATATATATATATATGTATGTATATATATATATATATATATATATATATATATATATATATATATATATATATATAGAGAGAGAGAGAGAGAGAGAGAGAGAGAGAGAGATAGAAGAAAGAGGGAGAGAAAGAGACTAGAGACATACCAACAGACACACACACACACACACACACACACACACACAGAGAGAGAGAGAGAGAGAGAGAGAGAGAGAGAGAGAGAGAGAGAGAGAGAGAGAGAGAGAGAGAGAGAGAGAGAGAGAGAGAGAGAGAGAGAGAGAGAGAGAGAGAGAGAGAGAGAGAGAGAGATACAGAGAGAGAGAGAGAGAAGATAAGAGACGCCGAGAGAGAGAGAGAGAGAGAGAGAGAGAGAGAGAGAGAGAGAGAGAGAGAGAGAGAGAGAGAGAGAGAGAGAGAGAGAGAGAGAGAGGGGGGGGGGCAGACAGACAAACAAGAGACAGAGACAGAGTAAAGCCATACTGACATTATATAGAGAAAGAGAGACAGGGAGGGTTGGTCGTGTTTCGAATTCTAGTCCACGTATACAGTAACATTTTGGGATAACCTAACACAGTCGAACAAAAAGACATCAATCATACCTAGCTTCCTCCATCAACAAATCATAAATAGATAAAAGGTACGGAAGAATTCGGCACAGTACCGGTTTTTTCCATTTCCGGTGCAAGCGTTACCGCCACCGCTGCTACTCGCTGCCTCGTATTTTGAAGATAGTTTAGAAACCCTCCTCTGGTTCCCTATTACATTTTAGAAACACGCAGCGCTTGGCGTGACAAGTAAATCTATTTTGGATCATGTACTTGGAAGACATTGATCCCTCTTCGTGAATATATAGCCCTATAATTATGCCGTCTATACCTCTACTCATAAAAAAGGAGAGAGAGAAAAAAAAGCAGACTGAGAGAGAAAGACCGTCGACCTTCTCCAAGACAGAGACCTTGGCAATGTCGGCCTGGCCTTACCTATTACCCTGGCTTGGCCCACCCTACGCAGCCCTACCCAGAAATTTTTACAACAGATTTCGTTCGCTTTTGGCTCCCTCACTCACAGGCCCGGGGAGAGTCACTCAGTTCCTTTGTAGCTTTACCAGGTTGGGGAATGTCATGTTACGTATTATTATACGTAGGACTTTCTTCTTTATGAATCCTCATATTTTGAATAAATCCTTAGGATAAAATGATGAGAGATGAATATTTGAGACAACATTGAAAATCGAAGTCCGACGACATATGTACAAGTGCAGTGCGTCGTCGTTGGCGGGTCTTTTAAATTGGCGAAGGGCCATTTGGGCGCGCGTGGAGGCCCCTTGCAGTGCACGGGGATAATTTCATGCCGTGGTTCGTTGGGATCAATACTATCTATATCTGTATAAGGAAAACACCTGCTTAGTGCACGAGCCAGCGGGTGTTTCCCAGCGAACGGTTAAATCATAGAGGGGGGATACGGCGCTGCGTAGGTCGGACCTCGAATGGCGAAATTTAGGGTATATGTTTTGCTCTTTTCGAAAAAAAAGTTTTCTCACCTAGATCTGTCGTTTGTGGTAGTGATGAAAGAAAACATTTCCTTCA